CTTCTTTGTCACTGACCCTCTGCTGATATCCTTCTCCAGGGACTGGGCTCCTTTTGACATGCTCAAAGTCCCTGAGATACAAAGCATGCTGACTCTACTTCTAACACAGATTTGTTCATTCTCTGGCAGTCCATGGTGTAGTAGATATTCCTCCTCAACACCATAATAATTTAAGACATTGATTCTCCCTTGGTCTTCCTTATTCATTGTGTTTATTGTCCGGCTTTCCCTTGCACATGAGGTAACTGTAAACATCATGGAACCCATTAACTAGTACAAAAACAATCCCATACATCATAGATAAGGCACATTTTTCCCCCAGCTCCTCTGCACTTACCTTTCTTTACATGTAAGCATAGGTATATAAACACCCTCTCACTATTGTATGAGGATGTTTACCTAGGTGACTTAAGGAGCTCTGGTAGCATTGTGGTTATGAGTTGGACTGTTTGAAATTACCAGCCATTCCACGGGAAAAAGATGAGGCTTTCTACTCCCATAAAGATTTGCAGCCTTGGAAACCCTAAGCAGGGTGGCTATGAGTCAGAACTGACTTCACGGCACATAACCACTACCACCCGGATGACTTGGCACGTCACTATCCACTGAAGGAATCTTGCCACCTACCTTTGTAAGTTTCCTAATCAAAGCTAAGATGTGAGTAACCTAACTTTTTCTGCCCCTTTTTTGGGGAATTCATCCTGTGCCCCTTGGAGTTATTCCTGCCTCTGGTCCAGTGGGGTATGACAGAAACTTCCTCCTCCAGGAAAACTCCCCTGGTGCCCCAGGCTTAGTGTTTTCTGTGGATATTCACAATGCCCGGTCCAATGCCCATTAAAGCACAGATTACACTGGAGAGGGACTATGTTTTTATGTGTTCTCACTCAAGGCCCATACCCAGGCCTGGCCCATCTCAGGGTCCCTGGTAGTGTCACTCCCTGCTCACAATCTCCCATAGCTTCCAGCAACCCTGGGAGAAAGACCAGGTCCTTACCCTGTTGTTATTAGGTGTTGTTAAGTTAGTTCAGACTCATAGTGACCCTGTAGGTACAACACCACAAAACCTTGCTTAGTTCTGTGCCCTCCTCTAGTTTTGAGCTTGTTGTTGCCATCGTTGTGTTAATCCAACTCATTGAGGGTCTTCCTCTTTTTCCACTGACCCTCTACTTCACCAAGCATGGTGTTCTTCTCCAGGGACTGGTCCCTCCTGGTGGCATGTCCAAAGTTTATGTGATGAAGGCTCACCATCCTGGCTTCTAAAAACATTTTTGCTCTGCTTCCTTTTTTCTTGCTTGCTGTACAAGACAATTTTGTTCATTCTGCTGGCAGTACGTGTTGTTCCTGTTGCTATGTGCCGTGGAATCGGTTCCGACTCATAGCGACTCTGCACAGGGTTTCTGAGGCTGTAAATCTTTATGGGAGCAGAACGCCTCATCTTTCTCTTGCAAAATAGCTGGTAGTTTCGAACTGCTGACCTTGAGGTTCGCAGCCCGATTCATAACCACTACGTTACCAGAGCTCCTCATACTGGCAGTACATGGTATATCAATATTCTTTGCCAATATTATAATTCAAAGGCATGAAATCTTCGGTCTTCCTTTTTCATTGTCTAGTTTTCAAATGCGTATGAGGTGCTTGAAAATGCCCTGGCTTGGGTCAGGCACCTTAGTTCACATTTCCTGGTCACCCTCAACCTCCAGTTTCATCCCTCTTCTCTTATCACACGACATCCTTTGGCTTCTGGGTCTTCAAATGAACTGTCCCCTAGAATTAGGACTCCCATTCTCTGCTGGATCAATTTATACTCAAACGCTAATGTATTCCAGGAGTCCTCTCCTCCAGGAAGACATTCATCAGAACCAGAGGTGAACAGGGGCCTCCTTTGGTGCTGCCTTCAGTGTAGGGTGGGCTCAGTGCCCAGAGCGGGAGGAGGGTCCCAGATGTGAATTTCATGCCTATTTGTCTCGGGCGCTGGGAACAAAGTTTAGGTCATAAGAAACATATGGGGCTCACTTTGCCCTGTGCTTTTATCTCCTACCTCCTGGACCCCTGGGTGGGAGGCAGCAGGGCCATAGCTCAACAGGCCTGAGTGGTTCCCACAGTTCCCCTGGGTCTACTCACCTCTTTTTCCCTCTCCTCAATTCCCATTACTCAGAGAGCCCAGCAAACTTTCTTCATCTGGGTTCTTTTCTCCTGGAAGAGACCTGGCCACAGCCACGTTTGATTGTGCTTCGCAGACATTATGCTGTTTACAAATTGAAGGCTTGTGACAACCTTGCATTGAACAAGCGTATTTGGCACCGTTTCCCCAGTAGCAAGCATGTGCTCACTTCATGTTTCTATATCATGTTTTGGTAATTCTCACAATATTCCAGACATTTTCCTAATGTTATTGCACACTTAAACACACTTAATAGATTCCAGTCTTGTATCAACATTTTTTATTTTTTTTTTAAAAAACAAACTTTTTATTGTGAATTGAATGAAGGTTTATGAGCAGATCATCAGTTGTACATTCAACAAATCGTGCACTTCATTTCATCTCAACAATTGCAATCCCCTCCATGTAACATCATTTATCCTTCTTCCTCCGTGTTCCTACTTCTTTCCCAATCCTTCTGAATTTTGTCCTAAAGCAAATGCTGCCCTTTTGGTATCAAATCGTTTGCCTTTCTATTGTGTGCACACTTCCCTAGTGTTGTTGCCCCTCTATTTGTTGGTTGGCTGAAAATTCAGCCACAGGGGTGAGTTCGTGTCAGGTGATCAAGGGTCATAGTCTTGGGATTCCACCTATCTTTAATTGACCAGTAAGCCTGATCTTTTTATGATCTGAGTTTTGTTCCACATTTTCTCCCACTCTGTCCAGGACCTTCTAATGTGATCCCTGTCTAAGTAGCTGGTAGTGGCACCATCTAGTTTTTCTGGGCTCAATGTCAAGGAGATTGATCAACATAACTTTTCTATGCACTGAGAACCCAAACAATTTTCGTGTGATTTGCTGGATGGTGAGATTCACTTTATTAAAGTCATTCTGGAGCAGAACCAGCAATATCTCCTGCTGGGGACCTGCCACCACATGAGTGTTTGGTTCACCAGGAGGGGATATCTGGTGGCGATAGGGATAGCAAAAGAGACACAGAGACACAACAAGAGAGACAAAGAGACACCCCGAAACCAAAGTGGATGCATCACCGGTGGGCAGACTTTGGACCACAGGCATCGTGGCCTCTGCAGGCAGCAACGCACTGCCCTGCAAACTGTGTTGCATGCCCTCCAAGCTGTAATGCACACCTGGGTCAGTCTGCGCCTCCGTTTTATTTAGGGGAGGTACTATACACAAAGCTGGGCGGGAGTAAGACAAGGTACAGCTAACATACGTAATTCTCCAGACATTCAGGCACCTTCACATCGTACTTCGCAGGTTCGAATCTCACCACTGCAACTTGGTTTCTCAAGCTTAATTAACATACCTTTTAGCACCTAGCCTCGAATGGGGGGAGAAAAAGGAGGATTGAGAGGATTCCCATTGTGTCGGCTGCCCAGCCCAGGTTCTCCAGGAAAAGAGGCGCCTGGGTGAATGGCCTGCACCTGGAAACACTTTAGGCAGGGCAGTTCTTTTGTTCTTAGAACAGACACCGGGGAGCCACCCAATTTACTTTGAATGAATTCTCTGAGGGAAGAACTTTGCCTGTTTGGAATTTTACAGTCTTAGCTTTTAGGAGGTTTTTACATTTATCTGTGGATAAAAAGGGCTCAGGTATGAAATTAATTAAAAAAAACATAACGGGATACTAAGATGAAAAACAGTTTGCCATGTCTGCCAGGTGGCTAGAGTCTGTTCCTCAGAGCCTGCAGCCTGTATGGTCTGCAACACTTGGGCCCACAGGACTTCGAACTCCTGACCGGGTCTGCACGATCTGCAACAATCTCTGAGGTCTGATTGTAACAATAACAACCACCCCCAATGCCTCTGAATTATGGTGTTGGCAAAAAGTATTAACCTTATGTCGATGGCACCTAACAACAAGTATCCTATGACATCACAGCCCATCCTGGCACCCCATTGGCTGATAGATCAACTTTTATCTCAGGAAAGGAATAATGTTGGTCTCCAACTTCAGACATATCCTTCCTCTGAAATGCCCTGAAAGTACTTTGCAGGGAGACTGTCCTGCAAAGTTTATCCACATTTGGAATTGCTGTGTTGTTGGTGGTGGCTGCAAGGAGCTGAGGTCAGGATTCACGGTAGGTGTAGGGCATGACAACCTTTCATTCCATAGGACTTCCTGTACTCAGTTGTTGGGTGGAAAGAGATCCCCACGTCACACCACTCTATGGCTCTTAGTTGACTATTCTAGGAATGAATCTGGGATCAATTGAAGACCAACTGAACTCTCATCAGAATCTTCTTCAGATAATCACTTCAGAGCCACATTATTCCTATCTCAGATACCATCGTGAGGCCCATCAGAAATCCAAAGGCCCTGAATCTGGAACTTTACTGTTGTCCCTTCCTTTGTCCCAGTTTCAGCTTTTCCCCAGCATGCTCTGCCCACTAATTCTAAGCCAATTGTCAGCCAATATAAGTCTGACTAGCACCCAGTGACGTCATGCCAACGTATTCTATGGATTGGCCATTTTGTCAGAGCATGGTAGCCTTCCTTAAACTTCCCACATTTTTTCAATACCTGTCCTTTGCCCCCCACCCTCAGACTCTATCACGAGGCTGAAGACGAAGTTCCACCAGATTTGGGACTTTATTGTACCTATGAATCATAGGTCAAACGTGGGGCTGAGGAGACCACAGTTCTGCTTGCTTTTTGCCGCCTTTTCTTAACCGGGCCTCATGACTGAGTGGTGCAGACGCATGCGGAGTGACGTCAGGGGCTCCGCATGCGTCTCGGTCGCCCTCTGAAGGACGGCGCCATTGAGGTAGAGGACGTCGCTCAAGGTTGCTCCAAATTTGCTCCTTCATGTTTAAGGGCGCCTAAGCCCGGGCTCTACTGCTCAGGCCTGTGGCCGCCAGCGGTCGGAAGCGGTGGGTCCCGGCAACCTCCGGCACGCTCTTCCTGCTGCAACCTCCTCAGCGGCCGAGCCCAGCGAGGCCTCCAGGGCAGCGCCAGACCATGGCGGTCAAGGACGAGGCGCTCAGGGTCGGGGCCACCGGCCGCGCTGCCCAGCAGCAGGAAGTCGGTGCCAGGTTGTAGGCGCAGGCAGCCGCAGGCCAGATCAGCATGGGGCACCCAGGCGTCCTGGCCACCGCGGGGCACCGGCCGCTTCCGCTGCTTGAACACGGCCAGGACACGCACTGCCAGCCGCCACCACGCGGGGCCTGCTACCTCGATCGCCAGCACTTGCACGTGGAGAACTGTGGGGTGGTGGAGGTGTTAAGACCACGTCCTGGAACTTCCGGGAACCTCTCAGGGGGCGGGACCTAAAGCCTTTGACGGTGCCAGGCTGGGGGCGGGGCCTGTTGAGTAGTCTGGCTAAAAGAGGCTTGTCTCCTGGGATTTGTAGGCTGAAGCGACCTCTTGGGTGGCTAATGGAGCTGAGTTACCTGAGGTCAGAGTCCTCAGGGTCTCTGATCCGGTGGGATAGGAGTAGACTGAGGGGTCAGGGAACTATGGATTGAGTCTGTGTGGTTGGGGCTGAGGCTCAGAGAACCAGGATCCCAGCATGAGGGGCTCAGGTCTCCGAGATTGGCAGGGCAGGGCAGGGTAAATAAGGGCCGGTCCATTCAACCAGCTCAACTGTTCTCGCTTCTTCCATCCCCGGGGTCGTCCACCTCCCTCACAGGCTAAAGAAGACCACCAAAGTTTCCTGTGCACATCCAAGAACATGAGTGAAGGTAATCAACACCCCCTCCCCACCCTATCCCTGCCCCCATTTGTCCCAGCAGACCCTAGATCTGAAAGGCCCTTCCAGATCCAGTCTCCCTTCCCATTTAAGATGAGGCAGTGGAAGTGGTGTGTGGCCTGAAGACAGTCTTCCACAGAAGCTCTTCCCCAGCTGGTCTCTCCCAGCACTCACCGTAGTCTTGCTGGCAGTATCTCCCAAGGCTCATGTGTACCCTGGTGTCCGAAACGTTGCAGTAGTTTTGACACTGAGGGTCTGGGGAGGGTCAGGTTGTCTGCAGTGGGCTCCTGAGGCCTGGACCATAACACACTACCCCTACCCATTCCTGCATTCCTATATTTAACTTTGAAGAAGAAAGCTGGGGACCCAAAGCTTGGGGACCAGGACTCAGTAGGCCTCCCTGGGGGCCCAGCTGGCCTGCCCCCCCCACCCTTCTTGCTGCCCGGGAACAGCACCCCACTGTCTTACCAGAGCTGTAGGCACCAGGGGTTGTGGCGAGAGTGGTGGTCGCCTCTGGGATTCCTGTGTATATGTGACCAAGGAGCATTTTAACATACCCTTAGTTAACACCTGAGCCCCTGAGGAATCCGGGCACCCAGACTCTTCACAGTGTCTGTTCCTTTAAGACCCAAGAGTATGAGCCCCCTTTGTCTGCCTCCCCCAGGAGCTTGAGCCCCAGTCCCCAGCCCCTCTTCTCTCAGACCCAGGACTCTGCACCCCATCTTATCCCACCCTCCTAAAGCAGAGTCTGGAATCCCACTCTTCTTCCCCCTGGAGGGGGTTTCCTCCCATCTCCTTCAGGCCCTGGGGCCCTGCCCCTTAGGACTCACGCTGGCAGGGCATCCTCGGGGAACGGCTCTGCTGGTAGCCGGGGCTGCAACGGTTGCACCTGCGGCCTGTGACCCCCAGCTTGCAGGAGCACTGCCCGCTGGTCTGGTTGCAGACACCACCTGTCGTCCCAATAGGGTGGCACTGGCAGGCTGTGCGAGGAGAGGAGCTGGGGCTGTGGGGGGTGTACATCCAGAGGCTTCCTGCCAACCTCAGACTCGGGCCCAGGCCCCTAGCCCTTCTCCCTCAGACCTGGGAATCCAGGTCTCCAGCCCTCCTCCCTCAGACCCAGGGGTCCAGGCCCCTAGCCCTTCTCCCTTAGACGCGGGAATCCAAGTCTGCAGCCCTCCTCCCTCAGACCCAGGAGTCCATACCCCCCAGCCCTCCTCCCTCAGACCCAGGAGTCCATACCCCGCAGCCCTCCTCCCTCAGACCCGGGAATCCAGGTCCTCAGCCCTCCTCCCTCAGACCTGGGAGTCCCAGGCCACACTGACCCTGGCAGGCTTTGCGGCTGGTGATAGGCTGGCTGGGGTCCCTCCAGAACCCCGGCTGGCAGTAATGGCAGTGCCGCCCGGCTGTGTGGTGGCGGCACCGCTCACAGACACCACCACTCCGGCCACCCGACAGCCTGAAGAGCTCGGCGTTGAAGCGGCAGCGGCGGGCGTGCTGGTGGCAGGAGCAGGCTAGGAGCAAGAGAGGCAGGGGCATGTGAGGCTGGTGCCCTGTCCCCCAATCCTCCCCCACCCAGGAAAGGAAATGGAGTGCAGGCAGGAAGTGAAAGGGACTGACTGGGGTGACTAGATACACCTGGGGCCAGACCTCTTCATTCTCAGCTTTAAAATGGGCGCACTGCACTAGATCGGGGTATGCTCCTGGGGCCTCATGGGCCTTCTAAACTTCTCTGTGAAACTGGGCCTGGCTGGGGAACAAGGGTCCAGGCCGTCGTCTGTGGAGTCAGACCCCTAGGTCTGCGTCTCCGCCTGTGTTTCTTGGGTTGGTGACTTCCTTGTTCTGAAAAAGACCATCAGCAGTGTCTACTTCATTAGGATTAACCAAAAAGCCACTACCAGCGAGTCGATTCCACTCACATCGGCCCTATGGCAGAGTAGACATGCGCTGTAGAGTTTCTGAGGCTGTGAGTCTTCACAGAAGCAGACAGCCTCATGTTTCTCCTACCATGCAGTAGCTGGTGGATTTGAACCATTGACCTTGCCTAACAGCCTAATGTTTAACCCATGGTGCCACCAGGCCTCCTTTCACAGTGATCAGATGAGATCAAATCTATCTAAAGCACAGTGCAAGGCTGCCCCCTTCACATTCCCATAGGCCAGCCGCTGGTGCACACTGCTTACCCCAGTCACCTCACACAGCCCTGGGAGATTGGTGTTCTCCTTGTTCCCATTTGACAGATGGGGGAACAACCGAGGCACAGAGAGCTGAGGTTAGCACAGCTGCGGATGGGTGGAGGCAGGGTTTGAACCCAGGCCCTCTGATTTCAGAGTCTGTGGTTTTAGCAGACATGCTCTGAAGCTCCTCACACAGCTTCCAGAATCCTTCAGCATATACATTTTTCTGGTGCGTACTCCTGGGTTTTCGTAAGGTTCCCAAGCCTTCCTACTGCTCTGAATTGCTGGGCAATGTGTTTTTAAAGTCCAGATCCCAGGGCCTGGCTGCTGGAAGGGTAAGGGGTGTGCGCAGCTTCCCAGAATGAGATGCTGACGCAGGCAGTTCACTGACCCCTCCTTGGAAAGGACTCCTCCTGAGCTTAAGGGATAGTTGACACTGTGGTTTAAGCACTGAGCTGCTAACCACAAGATCAGCAGTTCAAACCCAGCAGCCTTTCTTCAGGAGAAAGATGAAGCTGTATGCTCCCACATAGATTTACAGCCTCAGAAATCCTATCCAGGGTCACTGTGAGTCTGAAGGGGCTGGATGGAGCAGTGAGGTGTGTGTGTGAGAAGGCTAGGCTGGCAGGTCCCTGAGTCCAGAGGAGCTGTAGGGTGGTAGGGAGATGAGACAGGTGTGTGTCTGGGACAGGGCCACCTGGCACACTCCTGCCCAGCAGGGAATCTGGTGGCCCTGGCCACGTGGTATTTTGGGAGGCAGAAGAAAAGGCAGCACTATTCAAGTTGAATGGACCAGTGGCCCATCTGACCCAAGGGCAGTCTCTTCACAGCCCCTGTGACCCACCCCCGTGAAGGCCGAAGCCCAGACCCTTCTCTCTCACCTCTTGCCGGGCTCTTACCCAGGTTGGACTTCAGATGACCTTTCGGACTTCCAGGCCCTGTCCAGGCCCAGAATGCACCCCGCCTCATCCCCAAAGCACGTGAGTTCCTGCTCCCTCTCTGCGGTGTGGACAGACCTGGCTGATGGGGATGGGGATGGATCAAGGGATAGGTTGTCCAGTCTGAGGTGAGGCAGATAGAAGCCAGGGGAGGGGCAGGGAGGGTGAAGGCCCAACAGGGGTGGGGGATGGTGGTGGGATGTGGATGAGGACAGGGTGGGCAGCTTCGGAGAAGGGGAAGCCTGTAAGCTGACCCTCAATATGCCATCTGAGGAAAGAGCAGATGGAGAAGGGAGCCAAGGGACTGTCTGTGTCTGTGTCTTCTCATTTGTCAGTTTGTCCATTTCTAAGCACTGGACTGTTAACCACAAGGCCAGCAGTTCAAACCCACCAGCTGCCCCAAGGGAGAAAGTTGGGCCTTCTGCTCCCTTATAGATCATGGCCTCAGAAACCCTACAGAGAGTCTCTATGAGTAGCAATCAACTCAGTGGTAGTGGGTTTGAATAGGATGTGTTTCTGTCCATGCTTGGAATGACCTCCCGCGTCCTGGTAACACACCAAGGCCTGAGGATGGGGCGGGAGGACCAAGAAGCTGACAACTGTCTTTGAGGAGATGCTACAGGAGGGAATGGGGTGGGGGAAGGCGCTGGGGCTCTGGAAGCACCCTGAACGGGGAAGGGGGTCTAGAGAGTGAGGGGGGCCTGCAGGGGATATGGCCAGCCAGTTGGCCCAGAGGTTCCCAGTCCCAGCTCTGCCCCCTGGTGGTGATGAAACTTAGAGCAGGTCCCCTCTGTCTCTGCTCCCTTATCTGAGAACCCCAACTAATATTAGGAGACGCTCAGAAAGCTCTCCCTCCAGCAAACCAGCACCGCAATAAAGCCAGTCACAGCCACTTTTTCGTCTCCCAGAGCACAGACAGGTAATATTGACACTAGACTGTCATTGATGAAGTGTGCATGGGAATGACCACAATGGGACAGAGAAACCCCGAGTCAGCACACACTTGGAAAAGTGGTGCCCAAAGACCCGCTGAATGCTGGGCTGCCGTAGACCTTTCGTTTGTAAACAGCACAGTGCTACAGTAAGCTGAAGTGCCGTAAAATGAGGCGGGTCTGTGTCACCTCTTTTAGTCACCACCACAGCCTGTACAGGAAAGGCTGCTGCTGTCCCCACTGTAACTGCTGCGGAGTTGATCCCAGCGCATAGCAACCCTCCAGGACCCAGTAGAACTGCTCCAGCTCTAGAGATGAGACGGCCACATCTGTTAGTAGCCGAATGCTTAATCACTGTGCCACCAGGCTTCCTTATCCCCACTGCGTTGGTGTTGTCGCTAAGTGTCATCAAGTCATTTCCACTCATAGTGACCCAGTATAGGATTTCCAAGGAGCCAGCTGGTGCGTTTGAACTGCCTACCTTATGGTTCAAACCCACCTTGCGGTCGTGCGCTTATCCTACAGTGCCACACCAGTACTCCAGCCCCACTTTCTAGATGAGGAAATGGAGGCACAGAGAGATTAAGTCATCTCCCTAAGGTCACACAGCTAGTAAGTCGAGTTGCTGGGATTTGAACCCAGGCAGGTAGCTTGCCCGCCACTCTGGACACCTTATGAATAGTGCCTGACAGGAGTTCCTATGCTGCCTGTGCTGGTGACTGGCTGTATGGCCTTCCAGAAGGGACTGCCCAGCTGTAGCCTCAGTCCTCTCATCTGTAAAATGTGCCTAATGACAGTGCCTAACTGGCACATGTTTAAGACAGACTTTTCCCATGTGGTTGTACCCACTGCAGAAGCGTGCTGGGCCCTGGACTAGGGTGTGGGAGATGCAGAGCAGGTAGTATGGGGGAAGGGCTAAGCCAGTGATCATGGAGTTGCCTCCGACTCACAGCAACACCATAGGTTCCATTAGTTTTTCACTGACTGGATTTTTGGAAGCAGATTGCCAGGCATTTCTTCTAAGCCACCGCTGGGTGGACTAAAACCTGCAAGTTTTTGGTTAGTAGTTGAAGGAACGGATGGTGTGTTTCACCCCTTGCACCAACCAGGGAGAGCCTGGGTATCCAGTGGGCAGATAGGAAGCTGGATGTCTGTGAGTCAGCCTAGTCAGTGGCAGGAATGAAGGATGGGAGCAGTGTATAAGAGGAGAGGGGAAGACTGTGGGGAGGAGGTGGAGAGAGGGCTAGGTCCAAGGGAAGAGACTACCCTGACCCTTGGGGACAAGGGACCAGGGAACCAGCCCCTGGAGAGTTAGGGGGGGTGAGGAGGGGAGACCTGGCCAGCACTCACGCAGGCAGGGGTGGGGGTGTTGGGGCGTTGCAGGCCGCCAAGGCCAGTCGCGGTGGGATGGACGGCAGCTCTCGCACCCAGGGCCCGTGGTATGGTGGCGACAGCGGCAGCGGGGGGGCCTTGAGCGGGCCGCACAGCGGGCAGCATGGCCGTGGCACTGGCAGCGACCTCTCACACCGGCTGCGGCCAGTCCTGCCCGGCCTCCAAGCTCAACAAGGAGGTGGCTGGCCACCACGCTGACCTTAGGTACTGGGGGAGCACGGAAGGTCACCCGTTCAGGGCCACCCAAGGCCCCAGGCCAGGGGGATCTGCGCCACAGTGGCCTCCAGGGACCCCCTTCAGCCCAGGCCACAGACAAGACTAGAGCCGGGGGCCCTGGGCTGCAAAAGCGCAGGCTGACGGATGTCAGGAGGAAGGGGCCACCCAGGGTCAGCGCCCGGCTGCCATTGCAGGAAGCCTGGAGCCCCAGGTCCAGCCGTGGGGAGAGAGTGCAGATCTGGGGACAGGAGCCTGTCACAGTGGCCAGCTGGGTGACAGGTGGGAGGCAGAAACGGGGCCGGCCCCCTGGGTCATAGCAAGGATCCGCAGTGGCCTGACTCAGGAGCAGCAGCAAGAGGGCAGAGGTCACAGACATGGTCAGCAGAGACAAGCACCTGGAAGGAAGAGGAGGTGGTGGGCTGGGGGACCCACTCCCCACTCCACCACATCCCTGCCTGAGCTCCCTCCCTGCTGCTTCAGAGCGAGGAAAATAGTTCCATCTGGGGAGAGTTACTGTTTACAGAACCCAAAGGGGAAAGAACGCAAGCAAAATTGAGAATTTTGCCTGAACTAATCCGTAGCTTAACACCCCAGAGCTCTCTGTTCTGTAGAGAGGGCAGGGGCCCTGGGGAGAGGGCGGGGGCTCAAGAGGAGGACAGATGGAGACACAGAAAGAGACAAAGAAATATAAAGGGCGGTGGATCGAGGGGCGGGTGTGGAGGGACCTAAGGGCGAACACAGGGGCCCAGAGGGAGGTGAGGAGGTCAGGCAGATAGAGGCCAGGCACCCAGAGTCCACTGGGAGTAGGACGCCTGAGGCCCCGAGCCTGGGGACTTGGGCAGGCAGGGAGCCAGGCTCCAGGCACCTACAGAGAGCTGGGAGGACAAGGGGCCATGTCATGCCATCCTCGGGAGGGGGCAGGCTGGGGGTGCCCAAGGCAGGACATCAGAAGGAGAGGCCGCTAGTCCCGGCCCACGGAGATCAGCGCCCAGCCCTTTCCCACCGGGGCCCTGGGGTGTGGGAGAACTTTGTTCTGCACACCCTGGCACGAAGGAGATTATCCACAAGCATCCCCCAGGCCTCCCACTCCAGCCCTCCCCCACTTAACCCTTTCCCACCCAGCCACAAAGCCCAGAAAAAGGGGTGAGTACATCTGGGGACTAGGGAACAGGATAACCAAGTCCCTGTGAAATTCAGGAAGGTAGATATCTGGTTCCCCCTGAGGACTCAGGATGGAGTTTCCGAGGTCTCTGGAATCATTTCAGTCCCTGCCTGTCAATCTAGGCCACAGGGTTCCAGGACCTGAGCCCCCACCTTCTCCACCAGTCCTAAGGGTCCCCAGAGCAGATGGGGAAACAGATGTTGAGAGTGGTGGGTGACAGGAAGGGAGATGAGGCAAGATTGGGCGCCTCAGGCCAGTGTGCCTAAGGGTGCCCAGCCCAGAGCCTGACAGCACACATCCCTGAGCTCATCCTGTCTGGAGTGGGAGCCCCTCACCCTCCATCTGGGCGCAGGCTACACCCAGACCGGAGTCTGCAGGTGCTGGGAAGGGTGCTCAGGTTACGGGATAACATCCCCCACAGCTGATCTCATGACCCCTCTGTCCCCACTGTCCCCACTTGCAGATGTCCCTTCTCCCCCCCCCCCACCCTCTGCCCCCCAGGCCACAGGCATCCACTTCCACCCTCCCAGGAGTCTGGCGCCATCTTGGGCACTCCCAGCGGGTATTTGCCCCTGTCCCTCAGTGTGGACCTTGAAGAGGACCTGGCTTCCCCTTCCCCAGACCCTCTCTCTTGCCCGGAGTAGTTCAGAAGTACCACTTTCTGCTGTTAGCACCCTGGGGAGCCAGGATGTGGGTCCTAAGTGCTCATGGGGCCAGAAGCCTGCCCTCCCTGGTCAAGGAACCTAGGTGTCCATTCCCTGCCTCCCCAGTGCCCCCTTCCCCCAGTCTAGCTCTGGTCCACAGGATCAGCAGACAGGCTCTCTGTACCTGGGTCGTTTAGGGTCCATATGGGTAGGACCCAGGCTTCCTTTCTCACTCCTCCCCCTACCCCCGGCTCTTCACACCCCTTTCCTAGACCCTAGGCCCCTGACTTTGGCCAAACCTGTGCCCAGGAAGAGCGCCCCCCACCTCCGTAGCAGCTGGGGTGGCAGTGGGTAAGCCACAGAGATGAGTGTCTGCTTGGTGTCCCGGCTGGTGGGCGTGCTGGGCGGGGGTTCAGAGCCCAGCCAGCAGAACACAACACCACTGCCCCCTTAACCAACTGCAGCCCCACTCTCCCTGCAGGGACCCTGGCCACCCGCGCTTCCCGGGACCATGCAGGATGGGAGCACCATCGCCCCCCTGGGCCCTAGCGGCCCCATGGAGCCCCCACCTGGACAACCACAAGCAGGATGGTTTAGGAGCTGCAAGGCAGGTAGGACGGGACCCCCTTCACTCACCTCCAGCCCCACCGACTCCCAGCGGCTCTGCACGGCGGTCCCGCCACGTGGCTGCACTCCTCGGGGAGGGGGCTGACCTTCAGGCCGGCACACTCGGAGGTGGGACCATTTCCATGCAGAACTCAGCCCAGCCTCTGCTCCTGACTGGGTGACCCCAAGCCAGCCCCTTCTCCCTTCTGGAACCGTATTTCAGCCACTCTCAAGCCCCTAAAGTGCGTGCTTTTAGAAGGAGCAGACAGACCAGTGGCCAGGAAAACCCAAAGACCTCAGCCAACTCCTGAAATGGTGGGGACAGAGGTGGAGGAGATGATGGGTGCATCGCGGGAGCTGTCTGGCTCCAGTGGGTGGTCGGAGGGAGAGAGCAGGGACCCCGGGGAATACCCCATACCCCGCAGGGCACACAGCCAGCCTCCCCAACCGGCCAGTCTCCTTCCAGGCCCAGGCTTAATCATGACATATCATGCAAACTCTGCTGTCCACTTGATTTCACATCGGAATGGCTCTAACTAGAAAAATAATACTTGTAATTACTTCCCGTGGAGGGAAGAAACAGCCTTGGGAGCACCCGCCACAGTATTGCTGCAGCAACTCCAAGTGTCCCCATCGTGTGTGGCGGGCGGGCGGG